ATACTATTCATTTGGTCGTCATTAGGGTTGAAAGGATCAAATTCCTGCATGGGTTCTAGAAAGGCGTTGTTATTAGCATTAGCCAAATCGGCCAAGGGCAGGTGTTCTAAGTTTTCTGATTGGATACAATCCTGTAGGCTTGAATGTGAAACCATTCCACTAATGTGTTTTACTTCACACCACCAGTGTTTCGGGTTAGATTGTTTTAAATGATCTCCTTTTGTCTTATAATAATTAGCCTTGCAAGTTTTCCTTTTCCTATTAACCCTATTTCGATAGAATTTGAAGGTGTCATTCCTGAAGAAAAAGGCACGCTGTCGAAGTTGTATGAGATGACGCAGATCCTTGTTGATCCACAGGTGGTCATTGGAATGAACCAAAAGGCGTTTTTCAGGCAATATATAGAATAATCCAAAGGATAGCATATCGGTGAACAGTTGGTTTTTCACCTCAACGGATTTGGGTGAGTCAAGGAAAGACCAGTCAATTTCGCTTAAATACCGCCCAAACATAGCTTTGCGTGAAGGTCTCATATCGCGTTTATAGATGACTTTCTTCTGGTTAGACTTAGGGTCTCGGAGTTTAGGAGAGACAGCAATTACAGAATGATCAGAAAGGCCGAAGGGCAGAAATGCGATGATGGTGTCCGATAGATAGAAAGGATCTAGGTTTGTGAGCACTAGATCAAGTGTATTGCCCCCTCTTGTTGGTATCTTCACAAGTTGTTTTAAACCAAAATTTATGTGTAACTGTTTTATATCTAAGCGATTAAAGTCACCAGCCAAAATTAAACCACAACCAGGATAGAGACTCTCAACCCGGGTCAGTGATGCAATTAGGTACTCCAAGATTTCATTATCGTCTGAAGATGGGGGGTGGTAGATAGTAGCAGTAACTATGCACAAAACACCTCTGGGTAACCTGGCCAGCCGTACATAAACCCACATAACTTCCAAATTTGAACATTCCAAGTTATATAAACGGGATGTTTTATATTTCGAATTGGAAAACAAACAGACGCCCCCATGAATTCCAATTCGACGATCCAACCGTTCGAGGTTTGTAGCCAGGGAAGATAAGTTGATCATCCCCAACATTACTTTTTAGCCACGTTTCAGAAATGAAGAATAATTCGTTTCAGAAATGAAGACTCTTAAGCTGTTGAATTTGAAGCTTGAAGTCATTAATCACTTCAACAAATTTATCGTTGTTATGAAAATTTGAATTTGAAGTATCAAACCTGTTGCACGTTTCTCCCTCCTTGAAGCTTGAGTTTGATTGTTTTATACTGTAGATATCCTGTCTCATCTGTTTAGCTCCAGATCCTTCAAACAACAAGGTTTTCGTACTCTGGTACCATTTAATTTTGACAATCTCACCCTCACTGGAAACTTCATTCTCGTTCGTAAACAGTTTCACCTCGCCACCAGGGGAAGACCATTTTCCAGATAGGTTTAATTCGTTCGTGATAAAACACTTAAGCGTTTCAAGGTCACCGTTCCACTTAAGTTTAGAGTCTTCTATACTGAAGTGCTTATAGTTATTATGATCCATAGTGAAATACCAGCGTCAGGCTCACTTAGGCAGTGTGTTAGTCTCAGACCAGGGGTTAAAGGGCGATGACATGCAGGTAACATTTAACATGTGCGATTGTGCGTCTCATTAAATTTGTGTGTTTAATAATTTTAACCCCTAAGAAAAATTATCAAAGTGCCAACAAAAAACACCGCTCAGAAATTTGTAAATTTTCCCCTTACCCCTCAGAAATATTGGAGAGATCAAAGGATGCCGACAGGCTTAACCCCTCAGAAACGACTTTGGAGTCACCCTTAGGAAAAATTCATCCATAGGGACATTAAATGCAATGGGCCCCATGCATAAATGGCAAATTTGAATACATAAATATATATTCTATCCCATGAATACAATACAACTTTGTGTACTTCTTAGGGGTTCAAAACACCATTTTCCCAAATGGGGCAAACACAGTGCCTTGTTGCAATGGGAATACCTGTGTCTAGGGTCATGTTATAGTTGCTTTAGTGTGTTTGGCAAGATGGCAGAGCGGGGCACAGTGGTAATATATTCTCTGGCAAATTGGCAATTCATTAACAACTTTGTATGTTGTAGCAAATTGAACAAAGTTCATATTTATTATATTTTGTGAACTCTCATATTGTTCACGATTAGCATAACACATCAAGAAGTGGATAATCGGTGCACGATTCACCCTCATCAATACTTGCAGTATTGAACACTTTACGTGAACCATTTAGACTAACTGGCATCACTTTAGAGGATGAGCTGTGGAGTTTTAAAGACAACAAATTATGCATGGTCTCTTGAGCTGCATAATCTCTTTCACCAAGAGATTTCATAACTACCTTCTTAATAACTCTATGAGGGTCAGTGTTACTGTCAACATTTTGCACAATAGAATTGAATGCCTGTTTCAAAATAGGTGATCTTGGTTCACCTTTAGCTGTATATTTTGTGAGATATTCAACACAAGTATAGTCACCAATAACAACTTGAATATCACAACTTGAATATCACAGTTAGCTCTCCATCCTTGGAGCTGAAGTTGTTGGTGGTTATTTAACCTAGAGTCATTTCGTTTAGTCACAATCTTAGCTCGATAATGTTCATTACCACCTGAAGTATGATTTTTTTCAAATTCTAATTTTGTCTTAGGACAAATAAGGAAATGAAATCTACATTTCAACTCTGTTTCATTTGACTTCTTTCTATGACAATAACTTGTACTACAATGAGTGTGTTGTTGAACCATGTTTAATAGGTCTACATAATCTGCTTGCTTTTCATGTTCAGGAATATCATGATGACTTCTTTGACATGGAAATACCATAAACCTCCGACTATAAGCCCTGGGCTTATATACTTCCGTAAGCGATTTTTGATGGGCTTATACAAGGGGGGGGGGGCTAATACATGGACGATCTTCAGTTTATCATTATCCTCCACGTTGATAGCAGTTTAACTTCGCCTTTAACCTCACAAATTGACTGATGATACAAACTGGACGCCATAATTTCAATTTTCAGTAGCCTCCTGGTTACAATTAAAAATGAAATATATCCTATGCAGTATGCACTGCTCTATTTTATTATTAAATTCTTGTATAAAAATTTTATACAAGAATACTCCTATTTCAACCTAAGAACTACTAATTAAATGTTTATATTATACTGTTCGATTCCACAGATAATTGCACCTAGAGTGGGAGGAATGGGGTTTAATTAACATTGACTCATGGGCCATCCATTTAATATTCACCCCCCCCCCCCTATGGATGAAATCAGTAAAATTGTAACCCCTAAGAAAAATTATCAAAGTGCCGAAAAAACACCGCTCAGAAATTTGTAAATTTTCCCCTTACCCCTCAGAAATATTGGAGAGATCAAAGGATGTCGACAGGCTTTAACCCCTCAGAAACGACTTTGGAGTCACCCTTCAGAAAAATTCATCCATGGGGGGGGGGGGGGCATTAAATGCAGTGGGCCCCATGCATAAATGGCAAATTTGAATACATAAATATATATTCTATCCCATGAATACAATACAACTTTGTGTACTTCTTAGGGGTTCAAAACACCATTTTCCCAAATGGGGCAAACACAGTGCCTTGTTGCAATGGGAATACTTGTGTCTAGGGTCATGTTATAGTTGCTTTAGTGTGTTTGGCAAGATGGCAGAGCGGGGCACAGGCAGTGTGTACACAGCCACTGTGCCCATCACTGTTATTTTGTACATATTATTTGTATCATGCCGGCATGGCTGACCAGTTGTCACATGCATTGTGCCAATATCTCTAATCTTGTATTTTCTGGTTTAATGGCAAACCCCTAGCAAATTCCCCTGTGTAAGCTGGTGGAAGTGTTAATAAATTTGGGCAGGACTTGTAATGTTTTGCTCAAATGACCATAATCTATAACATAATATAAAATATATAATAAAAATATATATAATAATATATAATAAAATATTAAATTATGAAGTGTCCAATCATCAAATGCTCTGGTTTGTCACTTGCTCTGTAATATCAAAATGTTCACCTTTTGAAGGCCAGCAATCTCTCCTTGATGAGTAAAATTGTCAGTTAATTAATAAGACAGAGTAAAATTGTTTCGTGTTAGACTGAAAGTAAAACAGTAAAGCAGGGCGCAATGCAACTTAATGGTTAATATAATGTTTTCATTAAAGGTTGTTGATTAAGGATTACATGTGGTGACCAATATAAACACTGTAAAAGCACATGAGACTGAATGTCTTAGACTGTTCAACAAATAAACAAATAGGAGCTATAATGGGATAATAATTACTTTTGGCACCTTCTTTAAGGTTAATGTGAAATAATGACAATTTATTGCTTATTTTGCCTTTTACAATACATTTTATTTTGTATGTCCATGTTAACCCATTAAGCTGAATGTGCCTGAATTTACTATAATTTTACTCTGTCTATCACCGGATGATTTTATTCAGAGGCAGCGGAAGCATTTCGAAAGTGGAGGGGCATTGCCCAAAAGGTGCACTTTTGTATATGACCAAAAATCAAGCTGAAGAGCTAATATCCCAAGCTGAAGAGTCAGGATGGTGCATTTGATTTCATGAGAGCTGAGAGTGGAGGTAATGCAAGTTCTACACGTGGGTGGCGCTAAAGGGGTTGAACACCCCCCAGTCATCAGTTAGTTGTGAAAATATTGAATCCCAGTCAGCAAATTGGTTTTGTAGTAGCCAGGCAAAATACGAGGGTTTCAATAGGAAAAAATATTTGAGTGAAAACAACAACAACTAATTTTGAGAATAATAACTCAGCAAATTTCAGTTACACACCCCCATTCAAAGAGGTCTAGTACTGGCCCTGGATCTACTTAGTAAACCAGCAAAGGAAATTCTTAAGTTCACTCAGGCATGCTTTTCTTATTGCATGGTTTGGAGGCAGTTGAGCACGTGACTGAGCGTGGAATTTTGAGGAAACAGTTTCTTGAAGTCATTCGAGTGATGAAATTGGAATATTATGGGCGTGCAAAGGAACATTATGTGAACTTGACGAAAGATTGTGAAGTTAGACTTGATTTTTGGGGGAATTTGAGAGGTTTTTCTGATTATCAACCCATTTTGAACTACCTAATGTATTGGAGAGAGGAACAATGTGCATAAGACACATTTAGTAAAAAAGTTATGTATTGATGTTATAAGAAACATTTATTAATTTATAAAGTTGTAAACAAAATTTAACAGAGATTTTTGTAAAACTACTATTAATGTTTTTTGAGAACAAAGATTTTACAGTTTACTGAGTCGTTCTTGTAGTTTATTTTCTAATTGTTTCTGATACGCTTTCTTGTGATCCGTATCGAGAGATTTGAATGTTTCCTTTGTCCCTTTGACATAATAGGTGCATCGGGCGGTAAACTGAAATTACATTGAGCATAGGATTCAAGGGGATCAGTTTTTGGATTCCATAAATCATGTAGAATACGTAGTAATGCAAGAATCAAACATCCATTTAATGTCTGCTCCTGAGGCGGCTCATGTTGGAGTTCTGATGTGTCCTTACTTGTTTTTGTACTTGCTGTTAATTCGAGCCTCTGTTGGTGGAATAAATGAGGATGTAAAAACTTATCAGTGTAATGGAGTGAAGCGATGTTGTGTATGGCAATGAGGTGAAAAAGTTTTCAAGATCTACTGTGCAATATACAGTAAATGACGATGCGACCTTCACCACCCCTATGTTTGTATCTTTCGAGCTTCTGCTTGCTGGTGATGTGGAGTTGAATCCAGGTGATGCCGCTGAGGAAATAACACAACTCAAGTTGCCAAGTAAAGGTTTCAGAATCGGTCATTGGAATGTTGAACGTCTTACGGACTCTAAACTCGAACAAATTAGCTTCATATTAAACACAAGCAAAAATGTTGATATTCTCTTTCTGTTGGAAACCTTTCTCAAGCCCACGAAGTCTGATTCAGTGTTTAACATTATAAAATAACATGTATATAACGCGTATTCTGATTGGTCGAAAGCCGTGTTTGGATCAGGCCATCCAAACACGGAAGACTACCGTGTTGTTGTTATTTTATAAAACAATTTATGGTTTCCGTGTTTGGATGGACTGATCCAAACACTTGGGAATGTTGCTCGAGTTAAGAAAAGCGGGCAAAATCACTCGCCTTCGGCTCGTGATTTCGCTCGCTTTTCTTAACTCTTGCAACATTCCCGCGTGTTTGGATCAGGCCATCCAAACACGGAAACCATAAAGTAATTGTATATTCCAGGATATGAAATGTTTCCTGGTCGGAAACCAGGCGGAGGTTTGATAGCTTATGTTGTTGATAATGTTAAAGTAAACAGGTTATGGGATCTTGAAGATGACTGTGTTGAGTCAATATGGTTGAGTGTGCATCCTCATAATTCAAATAGACCGATTCTAGTAGGAGCACTTTACCGTCCACCCTCCACAAATGTCGAAATTGATTCGAAGATTGAACATAACATCGAGACAGCATGTTTGAGGAACCGGGAAATGATTTTAGTCTGAGATGTAAACGTGAATTACTTAGATAAAAAACATATTCAAACATAGGCTTATTAAGTCTTTAATTAGTATGGATATGTCCCAACATGTCACTGTGGCAACAAGACCAAAGAGCAATACATGCTTAGATCATGTTTACACCACCCATGGGAATTTTATTTCCGATGTCATTGTGCCAAATATTGGAATTGCTAATCATCTCCCAGTGTTTTTCTCTGCCATAAATATGGGAAAATTGAGAAGGAATGTCAACATAAAACTATAAATTATCTGGACCTAAAAAATGTGAATTTAGAGGCGTTACTTGAAGACCTTCGAAATTCCCAGTGGGATAGCGCCTTTGTCTTTGATGAAATTGATGATATTTGTGACACGCTCGATTTAATATTAAATGAGGCATTGAAATCTCATATCCCCTCCAAACAGTGCAATTAATAAGCGTGACAGTGAACTGAAAAAAGCACGCAAATCAAATTCTCAAGATGATTGGGCAGAATACAAAGGGACGAAATGTTTTGTGACAAATTTGATAAAGAAGTCAAAACGCATGTATGTACAAGAGTCCATTGATGAAAACAAAGGGAATCCTAAAGGGATGTGGAAAGCTCTGAAATCTCTCACCAAATCTCAAAAGTCTAATAACATTACAGAATTAAGGAGGGATGATAATACTGCAGAAATGGATGCAATAGCTGTGTCAAATATGCTAAACGACTTTTTTGTGAATTTTCTTCAATCTAATGATACTGCAGCTCAAACAAATCAACTTGATACTACAAAAATGGAAGAATATGTCTCATCAAGGATCGGGAACGTTACCCATGCTTGAATCTAGAGATAAAAAACTCAGAAATTCTAGAAGACTCCAATCTTAAACTTTTAGGTTTAAAATATGACAGGAACATGACCTTTGAGAGCCACATATTGATCAACTATGTAAAAAGTTATCAAAACGTTTGGGACTCTTAAAGCATATAAGCCCATACCTGAAAAAACGACAAAGGGAAATGTATTACAACGGAATTATCAAACCTACTATGGCGTATGGGAGTATGGTATGGGACAATTGTTCCAGCGATTGTGTTCAAAGCATTCTAAAGCTTCAGAAAAAGGCAGCATTAATCATTCTTGAAGCTGATAGGACTACACCGTCAATAACTTTACTTAATACCTTGAACTGGCTGCCATTTACTAGGCAGTCGCAAATTAAATGGAATACATTAGTTTACAAGCGTGTAAATACAAGTGTAAATACACCCAATTATATTGATAGACTTTTATTACAAAATTCGGATATTCATCAAAGAGAAACCCGATACTCAAATACAAACTTGGTGTGTCCTAGATTTACCAGAAAAACTGAAGGTGGTCATACTTTTACGGCTAGATCCTCTATTGAGTGGAATAGCATTGATATGGACATTAGAAAAAAGACATCAGTGGCTAGTTTTAAGTCCAATTTATATAAATCATTTTTAGAAAAACAGAAAGCCACCATGATCATGAGTTTGTAACTATTTTATAAATCTTTTAACTATATTTGTATATAGTATATTTTTTACATTCTAAATTTTTCAACTTAGTATATAGTGAGGGCCACAAAGTCATCAGTGTAAATTTACTACTGTAAAGTGTTAGCCTCATTAAATAAAGACTATAATAATAATAATTGTCTTGATATACTCGTAGTAAAGTGTAGACAAAGTTTTGATCGGGTTCTTCTTGCAAATACATCGAGTGCTGTGTGAAATCTTTATGATTTTCTATGTTTAGGATTTTGATGGCAGCCATGATTTCATTCCATGTGAAGGATGTGTTGTTAGCTTGTTCTTTTGCATTCAACCTGTGTATTTCGTGTTTGTCCATCATTAGACAATCTTGTTTGTATACTTTACAACCACAACAGCATTCATTGCATATTTTTTTAACTTCGCATGCTACTGTCTTAACGTAAATTACTTCTAGTAAGTGAAATATTGAACCATCCATCATCAGAGTCATAGTACAACTGTTTGCCATGCTTCTTCACAAGTTTAAGATATACTTTTTAGAGATTATATGATTTTTGCAAAAAGAATGTTTTGAGGGATAAAAAATGTGTGCTTCCCACGTAAAAATTAATTTAATGTATAGCATCTCTTCCATGACATTTGTCGAGTAACATGGTTTGTTCCTTATCACATAGCATTTGTTCCATGACATTTGTTGCATAACATGTTTGTTCCATGACATTTGTCGCATAACATGTATGATTTGGCTGGTTGAGTTGGCTGTGACCTTTAGTAGGTGTGACCCTAACCTTGATCTTCAAAGCAAGTGCAGATTTTGTGCACTTTTGGCGCCACAACGACACACATAAATGTGTGTGATGAAGCTTTTTGGGGGAAAAGCGAAGGGCAGAGCAGGAGTGAAAAAAGTAAGAGCGAAGGAACTGTGAATATGGATAGATGTGAAAAGCACAAAGACACAGGAGGTATCGGGCAAGGCGTGGAGAGCAAGAAGAGAGGAACAGGGAGCTCGTAAATTTGCGCGAGTTTTATGGGGTTATGCTGGACAGTAAAAGTAAAGTGTTTATTTTAAAGTTATAGCGATGGAGTGTTTGCATGAAAAACCTGCTTCCAATTCAATAACAGAGAAGGGTTCCTTTTGGTTTTGTGGACAGAGAAAGCCCAGCTGTGAATTTATATGTACAGAAGAGAATGGTTACCTGTTCCAGACAGCTCTGACAGCTTGGAGAGCCACGGGTTTGACACAGCCGATATGTGAGAGTCACCGAAAGCCTGCAAAGTTTTGTGTAGTTAAAAACATGCTGAAAAGGTCTTATGGGAGACCATATTTTACTGCTCATGGATGTGGGCAGATGAGAACGCGAAACCCAACTGCTATCACAACAAACCGTGTGCCGTGAAGCGAGTCAAGAAACAAGGTCCCAATACTGGTAAAAAGTTCTTCTGTTGCTGCAATGAGAATAAATGTGATTATTTTGAATGGGGTCCTGAGGAATTACCAAAACAGCCTGGTACTATGGTGCCTTTCGTACTGTTGTTTTACAGTCGTTATTATCCAGATCCTCAGCAAAACTGAAACATTTATAAGCATTTAACATATAATTAAAAAACTTTGTATTACAGAAGTTTTTTTATGAATATTTGAAACGTTTTAATTAAACTGTGTGTTCATTTACTGTTGCAACAGAACAGGTACTAGATGAGCTTCAGGAAAACTGATGTTGACATGAGAACAATATCCCATCATGTCAAATATTTCTTTGAGCACTGTGTAATGCAGGGGTGGAAAATATAGCACACTACAGGACCATTGGTCCCAGAAAATTTTTAATGCTGGCAGAAAGAAAAACGGGAAGGAAGAAAAAGGGGAAAAGGAAAGAAAGAAAAGAAGGAAAATGAAAGAAAAAGAATAGAAAGAGAGGGTAACTGCACCAATAAGTAGCCATTTTGTTCAGGGACAGACACTAGGTGTAGGGGGTGCCCCCAAAATAATTACGAAAGAACTTTGATAGCGGAATGTAGCCTCATTTGCAGGTTCTACCCCCTTTGTTGCCTTTGTATCGCACCACTGCACTGGTTCCAAAATTTGCTATCCATATCGTTCCCCCCATTTCAATTCCCAATGTTTATTTCTATAGGAAGTAGTAACAGCAACAGTAACAAAAATTACTTTATTAGCATGACTTTACATATACAAGTATTGCTTATTAGTTGGTATAAATATTTACAAATGCAAAATGTTTTGTAGCAGTATCGAGTAATACAAGAAATAGAAAATGAAGTTATTGGTATAAAGGAAGACTTTAGTTTACATACCAGTACCCTATTTACAGTATACAATTGAAGACATTAGGGTTTTAGTTAAACAGCCTATTGACTGTCAGCATTCATGGGTTCAAGGCATTTAGATCTCTTCTCAAAACATAAAGAGATGAATTTTGGTAATTTTATCACGGTTTCATTTTCAGTTGATTTCATTATCTCAATTGGTAAACTGTGTTCATTTAGATCTGCTTCATTGATGGGATCACATTCCAAGTAATTTAAAAAGTTTTCCTGAAGACTACCATGGGCTTAAGCCCATAAGAATTCACAGGGAGTTAGGAAGTGATGTTCTGTTTAAACATCTCCTGACTGGCATACCTTGCATACTCTGTCTTCTCACCGGATAAAAACAAACGATGGAGATTTATTATTGTAGTATATAAAAGCTGTGCCAGTCCTAGAAGATTCTTTCATAATGCAACTGAGGAAAGGATTTAATTGTAATAAACTATTGAGGAAAGACTGTGAATTTGTGTGCTTTCCAAAGTGGTTTTGAATTGTATTAATATTAGTATCATAATTAATAGTCTGAAAACAAACATGATTTGAAAGTTGGACAAAAGGTATTGTATGTTCTCTGTTTTTGTTCACCTTTATGTCCTTTATGGAAATTTATGCACTTTCACAGTGAGTGAACATTTTGTTCTGTATAATGAAGCAATTGCCCAATGGAAATCTCAGACTTCAACTGTACGATTTTCATATTGATCAACAAATTGTGTACTTTCAGGTACATTTCAAGTTTTCAACATCATTTGAAGTTTGGTTAGGAAATTACTTGACGTTTACCAATCTTCCTAGCAATGTGTATTTTCTATTAACTTTAATTGCATTTAGTTGTGCTTTATATAATAACTGGGAGACACTTTGTGAAATTTTGGGTGCCAGGAGGGAAGGTTATATAATAATTCTTAAATCTTATTAGCCCTTGTTGCAAGTGACCCTTTAATTAACTCATTAAGTTGCAGACTGTTGCAACATTGGCACTCCCCAAGTTGCAAGGAAAATGGCGAATTTTAGTTACTGTCAACTTCTGTCAACTGCTTTTACAAAAATACCCATATCTCAAGATCAATGTTATAAAAAACCTTGAAATTTTGCAGTGGGTTAAAATGATAAATGATTAATCAATTCTATTTTAAATGAGCTCCCACACTAAAATATATCATTAGATTTTTGAGTGAGAATTCTTGGTTTGTGTAAATTTAAGTCTCTGACATTTTGTTTCTTCATGACACCCAACATCTGAAGGGCAATAATTCAATAACCCAACATAAATGGAGAAATATTTTTTGATTCCTGGATTGGTACACATTTATTTTCAAATTAGTTTTCATCTTGTAGGGTATAAATTACAAAATAATGAAACGCTATAAAAATTTGCTTGGGCATAGCTCAGGCACACTCAGGACATCTAGTTTACAATGGAGAACTTGAACTTCAGAACTTGTTGTTCAAGTCCAAAAACTCTGTAACCCAAAAATACAGTGTTTGTACCTCTTTGAAGTTTTTAAATAGCTCAAATATGTTTGGAAAAACACGAAGTACAAAAATTACTAATTAAAATATAAACAAAGGATGAAAAAGGTGAGAAAATTTTAAAATGTTTGAGGTGTTTTCAATTCTGACTTTGACAGCCGGCATTTTCAAACGCAGCGTGCGGTGACAAAACAAAAAGCTTTTTATTTCGCTATTAAGAGCACTGAAAGTCGTCAAAAAGAGATAAACACTTTTGAATATTCATCAGGTAAGAATTTTAACTGAAATTCCTTTTGTTTCTGTTGAGAAAACAACGGATTTGTGGCTAAAACGTCGTGCGCGCCAATGTAGGTTGCTGTAAAATGTCAGACAGGCGGTTTCTTTTGAAATCTGACTCTAGTTTGAAATCTGACTCTAGCTTGAAATAAGTCCTTTTCAAGGACCAATTGTATAAAAATATAATATGTATGCTCAAATAAAATGAATAATCTAATATTTAGGCATTTTAGATCGCTATAAAAGAGTGAAATAAAGTATTTCATCTTTGGTTGTTTGTCAGACGAGAGTAAACACATTGGTGACACTTTGTTGCGCATGCAGTTTTCAAAAGATAAACTGCTAAAAATATAGCTTTTATTTCACCAAATAGCAAAGTATCTTGCAGATATTATTAAAAGAGCTCAAGCGAAGTAATTCCATGATAAATAAGTGAACAATGAGACCAAAAAAGCGACTAAATTACAATTTTGGAAAGTACATAAATTTAATGGCTTCCCGCAAAAGAAGCCATTTCAGAGGAAAACAGCATTTTGTAAACTGCTCTCCTGACCTATTTTAAACTTTTCCTTCAGGTAATCGATGAGTACTTCTTAGAAAATGAGCGTACATTAGTTTTATGATGTGCTTTATTGATTGAAAAATTTTATGGGGATATATGAAGCAATAAAGTGTATTTTAGAAGCTTTTCAAATCCCCGTCATGAAGGTTCAGAATTCGCACGCGCCAAGTAACGGCATAATTCAATACACTGATTTTAAACCACATTATCTCTGAAATGAGAGCTCGTTTCGAGACAAAGTTATAGAAACAGATATAGTATTCATTGTAGAGTATTCTACTTAGTTTTAATGCGGTTTTACTCAAAATTTTTCTTGCCAAAAATGTATATACGCACATGACAAGTTGAACCTACTGTCTTCTGAAAGTACTTCGGCTAAAATAACAACTTGAGCAAGACGACCAACAGTAGGGTCACGAAAACAGTCGAAATCAAACCATAAAATGCACGAAAAGTTCTTCTAAAAACTTAGTTTTAAACTAGATTGAACTTGCTTTAATGCTATATCATATTTCATGAAAACATGCCAGGTATTTTCATTCAAAAACACGCTCAAAAAAATCGTAACTACTCACTTGGATTTAGTGTTCATGTTTCTTGCGATTTCCCACTTCACTTTTCCGTTAGATTGAAAGAAATTGCTGTTTTTCTGGCTGAAAATCGCGCAACTTGATTTGGACAAGAACTGGACTTGAAACATATGCACACTCCCTTATGTTTTACAATATATTTTATATGTAAAACTCCTTAAAAACCTCTTCTTTTTCATCCTTAAAACTTGCTGCAAAGTCCTATCTTGTGACACTTTGCGGTTGTCACAGGTTTTGCAAAAAAATAGGGTTTTAAAATCGAAAATCTTTGCAACCTTTTGATCAATTTTCTCGCATGATGTATCGTTTGAAAGCTCAAATTTTGCACTTTATACTCGTGACCGTTGCTAGGCAACCCGATAAACACGCGCTAGACAATCGTGCCCGGAAGTTGACGTGTCATCCAGGGCGCATGAGGGCACAATGAGACTTACCCCGTTCCCAATTCCAGGGTGCATGGGGGCGCAATGAGACTTAATGAGTTAATTTAAATTATACAGGATTTGCATCAACAACTCACAGAAAATTTCCACACTTTTTGTTGCGGTCCTAGAAAATAAATTTTTTCCACCCCTGGTGTAATGAGATGCACATTGTTTTTTAACGCACTCGGTGGTTCTCACACTTTATGCATAGTTTTCAAATTGTTTATGTAGCTGCAGGAAAATAAGCCAGAATTTAAACAGTCTACAGAAAACAGGTCTGCAAAATGCTTTTTGTCCTGTTTCATTGACCAATCAAATTTTATATTTTATTTTTGAGCAATCTGATTGGTCAATGAAACAGGAAGTTAGAAACAGGAAGTTAGGAACTTTTTAAGGAACTTATCAAATTGTTGAGGAATTGTTCAGAGGTGTTCCTTCAAGTTAGGAAATGAATTGGTCAACATTTTTCGGAACACTTCTTTCCATCAATGCGAAAACAGACTTTGCTTTTGTGTAAACCGACATTTGCCTGCCGAAAACAAGTACATGTTATGTTAAATAATATTAAGAATATGATCTTCCCCCGTCCAGTGGATAGAAAAATGATCACTTAGGGCTGGGTATCATATAAATAGCAAGTATTATATTGTACACAAAATGTTAATTTAACCAGAAGCTGTCCTGCAAACTCTATAAAACACGCCCCAATTTACAATAAACTAAACAAAATATGAATTGTGAAACACTGTCTGTAAGGCAAGAGTAAACTATACTATACCTTCTGATTCATTAGGATCGCACTAATTACCTTTGAAGGGTTCGGAAAATGTAACAATGTATCACTAAATCCATACCATTCGCCGTACACAACTTCGGTCCCTTCCAACAGATCCTTTTCATTGTAGTCTTGTTCGATTCACAATCAAAAACACTATATACAGTGTTATTTTGAAGCTGGTAGCCTCAGTTTTTTGTCTTTTATTTCGATAGTTCAATCTGTTGCGATATTAGTGAAGTCAGTGGGATATTTTTTGACCAGACATACAAATTAGATTTGCCAAAACATCACATGTTTACATCCTAGCGCTCGGAAATCAATTAAACGCCAAATAATTCTAAAGGTCAAATTACATCTGCAGCATGACTTGCATGTGCATCGGTCTACGGGTACTTCTTACTCGCCAATTTTAGCGTGTGGCAGGTGCGTGTGAGTAAAAAGCCGATATTTTTTATCGAAATAAACATTTCTACTGGCTGTATTCAAATGAAATTCTGGATATAAAAGCGCTTGAATACAACAAATATTTCACTCGTATTAATTTGTGGCGAACTCTGAAGAATTCACAAGTTACTATTGTGGAATCAAAATTCCGAATGTTTGGCCAAGCGGTGAGTAAATATATTGTTTCGGTTTGTGTGATGCTTTGACAGCAGTCGGTTATTTTATTAGGATTTCAAAGGTTATTTTATTAGGATTTCAATGGTATTCTATGTTTTAAAGGGGGTGGATATGCACTGAGATATTTACGTTATAAAACAATTGAGTCGTAAAATCATCAAAATGTCGCTTGTCAATAAAGAGTTAAACATGAATAGTGATCTTACATGCATAAATGAATGAATGGCTTTTGGCCAACAAACTGAGTCTTAATGTTGCAAAAACAGAATTTATGCTTATTGGCTCAGCTCATACAGCCAAATCTCAAGATTAATCATGTAAATATTGAGCAAGTCTATAAAGCTACCGTACTTGGAGTAGAACTTGACGATAAACTATCTTGGAATAAACACATTGATAAAGTCGCTAAAAAAGTTACCTCAGGAGCCATTAGGAAAATTTGTTATTTTGTTAACCAAGACACTTTGATTTCTATTTACTTTTCCCAATTGTATGAAGGCAAGAAAGCCTATCACATCAGAAACATCATGCCTTGTGGCACTGATACAGTTTGTTTGTTTGTTGTGATGCAGGGCTGCCAACCCTGGAAGTTTTCAAATCTGGAGAATTGATATTCCATTGAAATCGACGGCGTCACGTCGGAAATGATGTCATTATCGAAAAGCCAACTATGCAGTTGTAAATACCTGCTGGTATATAGATATATACACTGGTTTATTGTCAAACTTCATTATCAACACAAATAATTGTTGATTTCAAGTTTCACATATTATTTACTATTTTAATAAAATATCGACATCTTTAATGGCGTCAATATGGGTAAAAAAATCCCTGTAAGATGAAGTGTTTACGGAAAATGGCGCCATTCAACCGCTGATTAAAAGCAACGCAGGCAGCAACGAAAGAATTTTATTTTTCCAGCAAAACGAAGTTTTAATGTTCAACGCAAATAATTTTTATTGTTAAAACCTTTGACAACGAAAAATCAAATGGCTAGTGCATAAATCGATGTTGGTGATTATCCTAATCCGGGAGAATTAAGACAAAATCTGGAGACTGGGAGATTAGGTCCAAAATCTTGAAACTCCCGGATAATCCAGGGGAGTTGGCAGCCCTGGTGATGCAACACACGATAAGTCGAAATTTAACCCATTGAGTGGCAGCACTCTCCACTTGATGAGTAAAATAGTAAAGTAGGCCGCATCAGGGCGTATTGCCACTTAAAGGGTTAAAAGGATGCATGGACAAAGTAAAATAGTCTGACATTAGACAGGGTAAAATAGTCTGGCATTAGCCAGAGTAAAATACTAAAGTATGCTACAGTTGTAAAATATGATTAGATATATATTATACTAAATTTTTAACACTATTCTGGTTCGCTATGCTTGTAAATGAATACAGACTAGAGATTCAATTCAAGAAAGTTCAAAAGATAAGAAATATTAATAACATTCCAACGGTCAGGTCCCGACCATTGGAATGTATGCCTGCACAGAACGTATGCACAGAACAGACTTTATATCGTCTTTAAGTTTAACACAGGTTTCTCAGCTCACATGTAACTCAGTATTTAAAAATTTGTGTGAGTATTGCATAAAGTACTTAGTCTACAAACCTTGAGTCTCAAACTGGTCATCATTAAAAGAGTGATCAACTTCATTATCAGGCACCAAATCATTTCAGATGTGAATGCATCTATGAACAATAAAAAATATCCAAATATTTAGTTTACACAGTATATATTGAATAGCATATTAGTAGGGCATTTGATTTTGGGTTGAGGATTTGACAAAAGCTATTTGGTTTATTAAAATAAAGCACTCATTTTACATACTTGTGGTATACAGGGTGTATCATAAAAAACGGAGTCCATCTTTTGTACTTAATAACTATCGGCCTGCTATATTTAATAAAACGGTTTTAGGCTTATTTTAAGGCCTGCTCATTTATCTTTCGAACAAATGGTCATCCGTGTCTTTAGTGCAAGTAATAACTGCACAGGAGAAAATTTAGTAAGACCTATAATTTTACCCATCAAACTACCATTATGCGGAGATCTTTTAGGGCGTGAAAGAGTCACAGGAACGAAGAGGATGCGACTTGATTCAGCATCAGATCGATTTGAGAATATTTACGAGAGCCCGGCTCTTTGGCATGTAAAACAATCATTCTTAGGGGTATGTGCGGAAATCTGACCATCTTCACATATACCATTAAAGTGCATATGACATGAAATTTCTTGGGTTTTTTTAATGAAAGAACTCTTTAAGCTGTAGTGTAACTTATTTTTCAGTTTCTTGTTTTTATGGTTTGTTCCCGAGATATTTCAATTTGTTCAATATGTAAATGAGTGTGAATATGTCCGCTAATTTATGACGTCACTTTGGTTGCAAGCTCATCAAAATGGTTGAATATCACTGCTATCACCAAGATAATAATTTCAAACTTCACTCACAGGTAAATGTGATGAAATACTGCAGAAAAATGTGAACTGATATCTACAGTTTTTAGAGTTAACATATTTATAACCAGTGTAAATTGAACTTGCAACCAAAGTGACGTCATAAATTAGTGGACATATTCACACTCGTGATAGATGAACCAGGCAGAAATCGTAATCTTAAGATAAATATTAATGCCAGCAGAAAATACGTAAAAGAGCCATAAAAATATAGTTTAAAAAATTTTATTAAAAAGCTAACGTTTCTTCTTTAACTTAAGACATCTTCACACGCCTGGCATTTTTGCACGCGAAATTGCGAATTAAACTGTGTCAATTTTTTTCGTTACCGCACGACAAATTTGGGAGCTTGGTAGCGAATTTGATAATTGAAAAATACCTCAAATTCAACGAGTGCATGCTTGTGCGCGTTTTGTTTGAGGGTTATTTAAGGTAAACAGGGAAACAGAGCGTGTCTAGGGGATCAAAATGATATCTAGATTACCATGGTTACTGGGAATGTTTTGCTACAGGAGGGCTTGCTGTTCGGGGCATTTGAGAGAAATGGCGCCTTTCGAACAAAGTTGTCAAAATTCAACAACTTCGGCTTGTATAGGATTCTTTCTAAAGTGTTATTTTCATTTTATTTTTGAATCCTATACAAGTCAAGATACGTATTAAAATTCGTATGTTTTTTGTTTTTGACAAAATGTGCTAAAAACGTTTAAAAATGTCAAACATTTGTCTGGCGTTAGACAGAGTAAAGTACTCTGGCGTTAGACACTCTGGCATTAGACAAATACTAAAGTAAGATGCATCAAGGTGTATTGCCACTTAAAGGGTTAAAATCCATCTTAAATTCTGGGGATGGTTGTCTTCATGATCCAAACAATTTTTATAATATATGTAGGTAAAGAAGTTAGTGAATGAAGCAGAGGAGTTAGATAGCATCAGGGAAGAATTGATAGAGGATAGTAGGCAGGAAGCAGAATTTAAGATTAGCAAGAAAGCAGTAGACAGGCGGAGAAGTAAGCCAACAGGGGAAGGAAGTTGTGTGGAGTCGACAGGTAGAAAGCGCAGAAGGGAGACGATGGCAGTGGTTAGTGCTATACATGGAGGAAGCAAAGAAAACTTGAAGCCAGGGGCGATTGGAATGTTGGAGACATTAAATAAGAAATGCAAGGAAGATGATATTGTAGATGGAATGAGAAGCTGTAAAAAGTTTGCAGAGAAAGTGTTCCCAAGATTATACAAAGAAGATTTAAAGAAGTTTGAAAGTTCAACTGACAATATGTTGAGATCTATTGCTGTATATTATAGTAAGGGTATAAGGGGTAAAGATAAGTATAGGAAAATATATAAAGCTAGTTCGTATAAGCAGGGACCAGGCAAGCGGGCTGCGCGTATTAAGGTTGCCAACTGCCCCTCTCCTCGGCTGGTTCCCTACCACAGGCTAATGGCATATATAAAATCCATTGATATTGGTCAGTTGCACAGTGTCTGTGAGAATTTTTGTGAAGGGTTGGATGAATGTGATAAGATTAATGGCTGTTATAGGGACATTGAAGATCTTCTAATGAAGTTGGCTGGATTTTATCTAAATCATGGTAAGTATGATATCCTAATATTTGACCAGCCTAATACTTTTCATGTTGCTTTGGGTGGAGATGGTGCCCCTTTTGGAAGGGATGACTCGGCGTGTTCATGGCTTGTTAGTTTTCTCAACATCGGCCATGGTGTGTTGAGTAGCAACGAGAATTTTCTTCTTTTTGGAGCTAATTGTGCGGAGAACTGTTTGCCTGTTAAGCGTTTCTTGGGTAAGTTGATCACTGACATTGAACGAATTCAGCGCTCCTCATACTCTATTGTAGTTAAGGGAGAAAGCATTGATGTTAAATTTGTGTTTGCAGAACTGCCAAATGATATGAAAATGCTTGCTTTCTTAGCTGGGGAGCTGACTAACAGTGCAACATACTTTTCCACTTTTGCAGATGTAAACCAGGAGTCTCTGACTAAACTTGGAACATTTGGCCACAATGCATCAGATACTTGGAAGCCGTGGAAGTTCTGTGATAGGATGAAAGTGGTCAAAGAAGTCGAAAAATTTAAAAAGAAGATAGCCACCAAAAATGTTTCAGCCAAAACTAAAAGATCAAATGTTACAACATTCATTGCCAAGCAGAAAAGCCGACAAGAATTTGTACCTTTGGTCTCAGAATTGATTGACAGAGCACATGTTGAACCGCTTCATTTAAAAAATAACGCATGTGCTTTAGCACATCGTTATATTTTAAATCAAGCGATTGAAATGTCGAAACCTAATTTACCAACTTCTTTTTCTCAGGTTCCACCAAAAACTCCACTTTTCAAGTTCATCGATGCTTTAAGATCTAAGTGCAGTTTGAATAGACTGGCGAAGAGGATCATCAGGTGGTATGACGAGAATGCTGTGACTGACGCCAGTACGTTCACCTATCGATTTACAGGTAAGGATTCACGAATGTTTTTACATAATTTTATGTTTCTCATCGATGTACTTGAAAATGGTGTTTCCGGTAAGGCTAGTGAATTGCTCCACGTTCATGCTTATCTTTGTCTTTGCTTGCGAAATGCCGTTTCTTTGTTCAGTCGTGTGAACATTACAGACGAGCAAGTACGAGAATTAAAGCAACACTGTACTAACTTTTATCGTGGTTACTGGTTGTTCTTCAAGGTTAATCCTATTGTCTGGACCCTGGGTTGTGTTGTTCCAGCTCACACCCAGGAAATGAAGCAATGTTATGGTTTGGGCCTAGGTTTGAATTCCATGGAGGGTAGGGAGGCCAAGCATATCGCAATATCAAAGTATTGTTTAAATACGGTATATGCACACCGATGGGAACAGGTTTTCCATCATAATATATTTCCCTGATTTGGCTGCGGGCCCATGGTTATACTAACGTCAGTGTTAATAATTCTACAGGAAATACTCTCTCATATTCTCCAAAACGCGTCAGCAGTAAAGACCCCAACTATTGTGTTTGTGGCTTGCAAAAGCTAGCATCTGTGGACTTGTGTAGATTTTGTGACCATGAACTGAGGAAAAAGATCGAGAACAGCATCGAAAAAGGTAAATCTATTCTACAGAATCTTAGTTAGTTTCCCGAAATATCTCGAGAGGCAAATTTGAGCATTTCAAGCGAAGATCATATGATAGTGGTACATGGTTCATTTGCTTAGCTGTTTCTATCATGTGATCGTTTTTTGGTTTCACTGCTTATGAGACCACATGCACCGTGTTTTCTTTACTACTCGAAACGTTCAAATTTGCCTCGCTGATTCAAGGACAGATCTGCCAACTTCTAAAACCTTTAAATCCCAAAAATGTACATGAATAAACCTTGAGATTTGGATTTTAAACCATCAGATTTACAAAATTGTTTGAAAACGCGTGTACATGCACACACACGCAGAAACTCGATTTTCATGGCCATAAGCTTGAGCTGTAGTTCACGCACGCAAGATGGACAAAAGAGGGACACAAACCGTATTATAATGAGGTAAAAACGGTGATAACCCAACACTGAACACGCAAGTTTCATTCTTGACTGTATTTGATTTTTGTAAATGTGAATTTATTGCATGAGAAGTTATTGTTAAAAACCCGCGAGATTTGAAGGCTATACTGTGAGAGTTCGAAGGTCTGCAAGCAGGTGTGACTGAGTTCAAGATTTCAAAAAGGTGTGACTGAGGCCTGTTTCAAACGTAGCCTGCGAACAGGCTCTCAAGCTGAATTGAGAGCCTGCATCGATCACTAATGAATTTGAATATCTGCCCGGTAACGTTCGTTTTTCCAAATATGGAATGTCTATCCTTATATGGTGTTGTTTACAACTTTCGTGCAAACTAAATTTAGACCGTGCAAACTAAATTTAGACCGTACAGTTTATACTGTTTTTCGAAATATAAGATATTCAAGCAAAAGTTTAAATGTTTTAAATATTGTTTTCTCAAAACAGAACATTTCGTGCTTTGAGATAAGATGGCCAAGACCAATTTCATCAGTTAATGTGTTTTTTATGCATAGTGTTTAGCAGTTGACATATATAGAGCTCAGCGGAATAATATAAATTATAGCATCTGACCAATGAGAATTTCGCGTCACGATTTGAGACGCAGATATTCAAATTGATTAGTGATCGATGCAGGCTCTCAATTCAGCTTGAGAGCCTGTTCGCAGGCTAGTTTCAAACGTCGCTCAACTGCCGTTCAGAATGCATTATAAACACAATAGATAATCAGCTCAAATTACTCATCTATTGTATTCAATGCGTTCGGCACGGCAGTAGCGCGACGTTTGAAACTGTCCTGAAATCAAGATTTAGTTTACTTTGCCTTTACAAGTTAGTTAATTAATAACCCACAAACGTTTAGTATATGACCTGGTTAATAGTAAGTTGTTATTTGTGCGTTATTTTACTGAGAGGGTAACCGGAGTACCCGGTGAAAACCGACGAAGTACAGCCGGAGTAAACCAACCAAACTCTGCTTACATGCGTGATTTTTCACGAATTTATAAAGAATAAATTAACAAAAACGTTTTGAAGTGTTTTCTTACAAGTTTTTACTAAAACAATTAGATTATTCGCTCTCAATTTCTGTGACGCGCTCGGGCTTCACTTGCATCCACCTAGCTCATCCAATTTTGAGCTCGCAATGAAATTGCTAATGAGCATGCAGATTGGTATACAGCTATTTCAATTAAGGTTGTCCCCCGAGCAAAGCGGAAAAGTCGAATACGAGCGCGAAAGGCTGCTGGGAATCGCTATTAAATTCATTCATTTATTAGCGATTCCCAGCCGCCTTTCCCGCTTGTATTTGACTTTTCCGCTTTGCTCGGGGGACAACCTTAATTGAAATAGCTGTATATAGCGACGTCACAAGCTTGCTGCATCCGGATGATGGGATCTCATCATCTCATTTTAGTTTTAAGGTATTTGGCTGGTCAGGTGTTAGGACATGAATTGATTGTGTTGGGCCGGTTGTACGGCCTGAAAAGCTTTAGAACTTTAAACATAAAACGTTAAAGATGTTTAAGAAGACTATATTTTGTCTAGTATAATCTAATTTATACCAATTCTAAGGCAATAGACAACTTAACCCATTTACGAAAGCTTGAAAAACTGGTGCATGGAGAGCGCTAGTCCGCGGCGTTTGTACAACCGACCCCTTATGTTATTTGTTGTTCATCTTGTGTTGGGTTCTTTGTCTTGCGTCAAGTCAGGTTGGTCGTCTTGTGTTAGGTTGAGTTGTCAGGTAAGTTCAGTTGATCGGAACTGCCTGAAACGTGAATTAGTTGATGTGAATTTTATATATTAATTTTGCCTCAAATATAGCCTGTCACGGGGGAAAATGGGTAGGAAGTTGACCAAACTGCAATGTTCTTACATTAATTTTGAAAAGAAAAGGTTTTGCAACGAAATTTTACAAGTCACGAGACTTAGGTATATATACGTTGACGATTTAAACTTCCACTGTTGCAGTCGCTTGTTTGGTCAACCTCGTATTCAATTCGTTTGGATGTCGAGTCGCTAAATCTATAACTTGACCCAAATGCCAGTCTCTGTTGTAACAAGAATAATTTCAAGCAATTACAGAATATTAAATTAAGAAATAACGGATTTCTAGCAATTACAAATATACAATAATCTCTATAATAGCGCCGCGTGTTTCAGTATACCTGCGTGGACCCTGGTGACCTATAATATATTCGCAGCTCGCTTATTGTTGGTAAAGTGTACAGACTTAACTCAAATCTGCTTCTTGCCTGTGTCACTATCTTTCTGTCATTACATTCGCGAATGTCTTTTGTCATTCTCGTACTCAGAGCCCTTCTTAGGCGCGGCCAACGGAGCGCGACGAGGGGCTCTGGCCAAATCCATATCAAACTGGCATCTGATTGGCCACAACGAAGGTTATTGTTCTAATACCGGATGTTTGGATTTGGCCAGAGCCCCTCGTCGTGCTCCGTTGGCCGCGCGTAAGAAGGGCTCTGGGTACGAGAATGGTTTTCTATCAAATACACATCTTTGCGCCTATATATTTTTTAGATATTGGTACGAGGTTGTATTTTTGATAGAACACGAACGCAATTCTATATATTACTTATAGTATACTAAAAGTATCATTTGAATATTAAAATGTTAGATACTCGAGTTTTCAAGTAAACATTGGACGTGAGTTGTAAAGAAGTGATTTCAAGTTAGATGTTGTGATGTAAAGTTTAAGTCAATGCAGCCTGCATGCAGCCGTGTAGGACATCAAGTTAACCAATTTGATTTTATAATTAAGCCGGTATTTAACTATTAAGGACAAATGCGGTTTTTAAAGCGAAGGAGAAAGAAATGTCGACCGTGTGAGCAACAGCAGACTTGAAACCAGTCTATATTAAACATGGATGTAATCTAAATTATAAACTGGCTATTAAATCAAACTCCAGTTGATAGATGCAAGCAGTCTTTAGTGATCAGGATTTGTCTTGAGTGACAAAATTATTCTGTGAACAAATATTTTAGTTAAGATTTCCAATAGGCTTAGTAGCCTTAGTGATATTGACAGAAGCATTTAATTAAACAACTGGAGTTTGAAGATTACCAGAAAGTACGAAGTGTACTAGTCTGGTATACCACACACAGTGTATATTAGAGATCAAATCTTAATAATTTGCCAAATATTAATAGCTATTTATGCACAACGTTAATGCAGTTTAATTAGCACATAAAGTGCATACTATTAGTTCAATGTTTAGCACTGTTCAGTTATAGTGTTCAGCACTGTTTCAGTGTAATATGTACAAATCAGCATATAATAGTATCAAATTTAATCATCAGATGGATGTCAAGATCCTGGACAATATAATACTATTCTAATTTGTATTTAATTTTTAACATAACTTATTAACTTAAATGATCATAATGTTAAAAAAAGAAGACAATTTGATGTCCACATTTATTGTGTTTGTATTGAATGTACACTGATCTATTGTTGCCTTCAATTTGATTGAGGCAAGAAAATAAACAACTGAATGTGTGAATGATTAGTACTGGCAAAACGTATTGATATTAAACTCATCTGTTATCTGTAGCTCAACAATTTTATATATGCAGTGCCAGTCTTCTGGTTATGACAATTGACACATTCTTCAAATAGTAAGTAAGTGGACATGTGCTAATCATATTCACTTGCAGCTGAGAGCTTAGCTGAATTGTGAAGGACACAGCTGAACATGATTAAGCTTTCTGGGGTTGCCTTCGGCCACCACCTTATCACTCATGTCTGATCATTTTGCACTGTTAACATTTCTTGTGGGAGAAAACCGTAGATGCTGGAGAAAACCCACAACTTTGACCAGAACATTAACTCACTCAAATACTCCAACACCAATATTGCACAGGGGAGCACCAGAATATTTTTATATAGTCTGAATTGGGGGGTTGCATGTTTTAGATTAGTCTCTGAAAATGTATTAAAGTCAATGAAAATTAGATTTTTGACTTTCACTTCATGAACATAAATGAGTTGTTTGCTTTGCTAAGCGGGTTATTTATGGAAAACTAGTCATCGGGAAAACACTGTGAGGTAAATTAAACTAAATGAAAATTCCCAAATTATTTGCTGGTCATTGCCATAGTACATGCAATAATTGTACTGTATTCATACATTTAGAAGCAGTGGCACAAGTATGCAAATTTTGGTGGCAACATCCAGTTACTGTATGTGCATTTAGGAATTTGCAATTAGCTTATTTATGATTGTAACAGCTGTGAGGATCCTTTAAGGCCCGTTCACACGGGCTGGGGCGGCGAGAGGGGGGGGGGTGGTCTGGGCCCCCAACTTAAATAGGGCTGAACTTGAGAGCGACAGCCTGCAGTCACTCTAGCTACAGTAAGGTCTAGTTGGGTGACTGACTTCTGTCTAGCTTAATCATGTGCCCCCCAGAGGGGGTTTGCCCCAGGCCCCGCAGATACTCTCGGCGGCTCTGCACACAGGCAATTTTTGTGTGTGATTCTCTCCCCCAGGCATATGTGATTGGTTGTGTTCTATACACACAAAAGCATGAAATTACTTTAG